AATATCAAATATCGCCAACTGTATCCAGATTGTTGATCTATATAAAGACCTTATCAAAAAAAACTTAAAGCCCTTTGCATTGCTGAATCCAACGATCATGGACGTGGTATATGTCAAAGTAGCTATGTCTGTTGAAAATCTACGGTATTAAAATTAAAATCATACACCAAAGATAAGTCAAACGACAAATTATATGTCACTATATATTATACATGTCTTCCAAATATGAGCACTGTTTAGTAGTGTTCACCACCTTTATAAATTTTGTAAACAGCTTTCGTTAATTTGACATGAATAAGCTTTTATTTTTTGCTTATATGCATTCTTAATAATACAAGTGAGATTTAAATTTTTGCTTTGTGAAATAGAATACCGTTGTTTTTTAATGGACAGCTTGCATCGTCTATATCATATCCAGGATTGCTTGTGTGCAAACGCATTATTCACTATATGGCACTATCAAATAAATATATTAAAAGTAGCAAATGATTAGTGAATTAGAGATAAACAGGTCATTCACAATAAAAACTTTAAAAATGTTAGTAGAAGTAGAAAACTCGAAAATTTATGTCTGTTCGTATGACGCCAATGACTGTCTGTGCGCATCTGACACTGTAAATTTGTGATATAGATTATAGTATGTTGGCACAATATAATGATTAATAGAGACCAACAAAAAGGCTAAATCTTACTATAATTACCGAATACGAATTATGTACTAAATCCATGTAAATCAATGACTGAAATTTCCTCTATGCTTATGGACATTTCTCTGTTCAGCTATTTATATCAAATGTTTACATTTGCTAATATTGGGCCAGTCCTAGACAATACTGTTTCTTTCAAAAATCTTATAAACAAGACGCGTAGACGTAGTAACAAATGAATCGGTGCCAAGCGTATCAACGTTTACAAGAAAGGACGAATGTAATGGCGTATTTTAAAAACATTACAATAAACGTTTGTTACTAAACAGCGCTCGAGTGTGAAGAGAGCATGCATTGAGTAACAACACGAGACTCGAGCACTGCGAGTAACGATTTGCTTGGTTTCTTTGATTTGACTGTAAGTAAGAATGTAAGAATGTTCTTGTAAATTCAAAGCAAAGAAAATAAACAAAAATTAGCAAGTATTTTGAATGTAATAATTCGCAAAATTTATGTTTTTAACGAATATCCAACTGGAAGCATGTTATGTAATTTGATACTTTCCCCACACCCCCTCGGGCGCTAAATTTTTGATGAGGCACGTGACCAGCCGCAGCCAGGGTCTTTCCCAAAGAAAGATCCTGGGTACGAGGTTGGGCGAGGGGTTAGTTAAAGGTAAGTTCCTCAAAAATAAAAAAGTATACGCCAGTTTGATGATATAATCCGTATGCTGTTTATTAGAAGTTATCTTTACCATACCAGATGTAAATTATGTTTACCATCAATCATTATCATGGGAAGCAATTTTGTATTGGATGGCTTGAGTCAGGGGCGATCATTAGGTCATTATTTCAAACTTTACAGATTATCGATGGGCTTCAGTCCCCATCGGTGTTTACGGCCCTGTCAAAGTGTCAATCCATCAAACAGGTTGTGCACAGGTGATAACCTAAGTGAGGAACAAAACGTTTCTATGTATTAATATAAAAATATCGCAATATTATAGAAATTATCGACGTTTTTAGAGATGGCTGCGGAGGAGAAAATTGTTGCCAGGGGCCGGTTGTTCAAAGCTGAATTAGCGCTAACCCTGGCCTGGGTTAAATTAACCTGTCGGTCTGGTTTGTGTATTTCTGCAGGTCTTTACTTTACAAAATAAAACTTCTGCTCGTGCAGACAAGATTTCTGGTAAAATATTTCCACGTTTGTAAACAAGTTGTTGAGAAGATCGCTTTGAAGTTTTTTGTTAACCTAGGAAAGTTAACTAGTTTTTTAACAACCAGCGATATGCAAGGCGTTTTGGCATATGGTGCTTTCCAGCCTTTTGTATACAGCTATTTCAATTAAGGTTGTCCCCCGAGCAAAGCGGACTGACGCACCGTCCTCAACTATATTAATTATTTGCATAATTGACAATTGTGCTTATTGGTTAGGTGCTGGGGTATTATCTGTAATTACTCGCTGGGGCACTCTGTGCCCTGGCGAGTATAGGTTTCGGCACGCATTTTTAGTGGATCAGCAATAGTGGATCAGCAATAGTGGATCAGCAATAGTGGATCAGCAATAGTGGATCAGCAATAGTGGATCTCCAATTTTCTTCGATAGCCACAAAATAGAATATTAATGAGCTGCCTAATATCAAAATGGCGGCCTTTCGTGGTGTGGGCAAAATATTTCAAACAATTTCGTTAAAATTTTCAACGAATTGTACCTGTTTTTTTATGGATTTTGCATTGTGTCTAACTCTAGACATTCTTGCTAGTTTAGTTAATGCATTTTTCTTGGTGCACGGCTCTGAAAATCCGAAATTTGGATTCCCATGCACAATCATAATATTCATATAATATACTGAATCTGGATATAAACGAGCCAAAGGCAAAGACAATTTCAAGGTAAAAGTTTATAACTTACAGTAAACTATACACAACGTAGTTTTAATAGATAACTACTTTATGAGAAGCATATTTAATAGTGTCATATTAATATAAAATTTATCCAACAACAGTCCATATTAAATAGTTATTAGTTGTGGAAACGTGAAAACTGTAGTGTGAAATATAATATATTCGTAATGCCTTATAATGGCGCAAAAAGGATAAAAATACCAACGTTCGATTCAGCGTAAGAAATTGTACTTACGGATGTCAAATGTATTACTAAACAACAGTATTCTAGCGATTTATGGCCATTCAAAATCAAGCGAAATTGTATTGTTTACAAATCGCTCGCAGTACGTTTTCATGTTGACACTCACTCGCAGGACGTTTGTCCTTGACCTTGTACTAAGTTGTATTAATGCCTAATGGCGCAATAAAGATACAAAAATACCACCGTTCGATTCAGCGTAAGAAATTGTACTTACGGGTGTCAAATGTATCACTAAACAACAGTATTCTAGCGATTTATGGCCTTTATCTTTAAAATCCAAGCGAAATTGTGTTGCGAACGAATCGCTCAAAACTATTCAACTAATTATAAAAAATGCAGTACGTTTGATCCTTGATAACTTTGGTATCGTTGGTTTTCTCTTTTTCGGCCGTATACCAGTGGATTTGTTTGTATTCATTTTGATAGTATTTTGAGCCCAAAAGCCCCAAAATATTTTATTTTGAACGTAATTTTATTTTGAACGCGCAGTTTAATCCTAGCCGGTGGAAACGCTGGAAGTTTTATTTGTATGTCTGATTGTATAAAATCCTGAACTGGGGTCATTATATTAACAGAAACTTCAAAACTGAGCCTCCTACCTGCAATACAAACCTAGCCAATTTGAGAGTGGCAGCACTGTCCCTTTGACAAGCAAAATCGACTGGTATGAGACATTAAACTAATAAAGTAGGGTGCATGATTGCATTGGGGCACAATGCAAGTCAATGGGATATAAATAACAATATTACTAAAACAGATGGTTGATTGTGAAGTTATATTGTTCAATTGTGAGGCCCAAAGTCTTGAAAGGTTCTGACTTTCTGCCACGTATCTAGTAAAATCTGCAGTAGTATATACGTACTAATAAAATATGTAACATTTAAATAATAGTAATTATAGCAACGAAGAATCCTACTGTATACAAATTGTTTATAACCATATTAATGTCTCAATCAATTCCATGCAGGGTGCCCATCACCCCGGGTGTTTGTTGGGTATTGTCAACTGTACTTGTTCCCAGGGTCCGGGCATTTGCTTTCTGCAGGTTAGCCTTGGGGTGGGGAACTTGCTCGAGGCTAAAAAGTCGAATATCTGTCGTTTACACGTGCGTGCGTATTGCAGCAAGCTAGTATTGCAGTGAACTTTATGATGATAGACAGTAAACTGAACGATAACTCGGGGGGGGGGGGGGGGCCCATACAGACCGGACGCGTTTGGCAACGCGACTTTTCAGTTTTCAATGACATTTAACTTTAATATTTTTCAATGTCATATCTTGTAAAATTTTTATCCGTTGACGGTTATTTTTTTTTGAAAACTGAATATTCGCGTTGCCGAATCGCGTCCGGTCTGTGTGGGCCTTTAACGTTGTGCTGTATATGAAACTGAATTAAGCTATTGAAAAACGCTATTTGGTGTAGAAATTAACTAAAAGGGAAATAAGGAATTGATCGAGACATTACGTTTTGTTTACTGGGAGGCCACTAATTCTGTTTTGTGATTGGCGCGGCTTAATCAAAGAATCGCCCCGTTGAACCAGAGCCTTCGCGACATTTCAATTTATTATTTACTGTCGAAGGCTCTGGAATCCAGGGTAGCCAAATAACCTCTTCCACATGTTTGGGGAGGTTTTAGCCACTGATCTATATAAAAACACTGTAGTGTTGCTATTTTTTAGTACGTTATCTGCGCCTGGGTACGAGGCTGGCGCTATCCAGTCATCATGAAAATGTACGGAAGCCCAGAAGTGTAATTGCTATTACCCACCTCCGTGCTGAAAAAGTGGGTTGCAAAAGCTATTTTTTTCGCTATTTCCTATTACCGTGTTTTCTATTACCTATTACCGTGTTTGCTATTGCTGTGTTCGCTAGCGGGCAATATCCTATTACCTATTACCGTGTTTGCTATTGCTGTGTTCGCTGACGGGTTATTTCCTATTACCTATTACCGTGTTTGCTATTGCTGTGTTCGCTGGCGGGCCATTTCCTATTACCTATTACCGTGTTTGCTATTGCTGTGTTCGCTGGCGGGCTATTTCCTATTACCGTGTTTCCTATTGCTGTGTTTCTTATTTCCGGTATAAATTTATTATAAATATTATAGTATACTGATCAATGACTCGATATATCAAAGTCTCTTTTAGTCGAAGCAAGGAAAGATTACGATAAATTTGTGCTTTTGGACGAGATCAATGTCTATATTTCTCTTCAACACAGTCTTAATATTGTTACTAAAAATCTAAAACCTTAGGCTTAGTTTAAATTATAAATAAGAACGCCAATTTTCAATTTTTATTTGTAAATAGTAGGATTTTAATCAGTTTTAACTAAGGTTTTCGATTTTTTTAGTCACAATATTCAAGACTGTGTTGAAAGAGAAATATAGTCAGATATTAATCTTTCCTTGCTTTGACTAACGGTCAGTATAATCTTCAGACTGCAGACCAAGTACAAAATGCAGAATAGGTATAAATTGCAGACTGAAATTACAGACTTGGTATAAAATACAGACTGAGTGAAAAAAAACCGTACAAAACTACACGTTATATACACCCGTTATCAAAATTATGAGACTTACCAAAATATAATCTAAGACTCAAATGTCAGTTTTATGTCACGAGAGTTGTGGGAACTCACAAGCAAAATTAAGACATTTTAAATCGTACTTAATAGACTTAATACCTAAAGAGTAAAGAAGAATATTGAACTAAAATGAGCTAGATACACAAACTAAAAGAAACAACAAGCCATCACAAAAATAAATTTGTGTAGTGAATATATATGACTTTTAAGTTTGAGAAAAAACAAATTGTGTATTAAACCCGCTTACGCCTGACTATAGCAGTAATATAGACTGCAAGCAATCCCTAATAAATAGAGGCATCTCATTGTCTTTAAAATTTTATGCTGCTTGATTAGGTGCATTTATATTTTAGCCTCTATTTTTCCTCTCGTCTCCGCCCCTTTTTGCCATTTTCCCGCGCGTTCAATCTTAGTCCGGGAAACAATAAAACGAAGGAAAATAGAGGGATTGCTCGCAGTCTAGCAGTAATATTATGATTTTGTTGTGCTTAAATTTTGCAATAATTTTCACTAAAATATCTTGAAAATCATTCTAAACCTTTTTATATAAAGCATCAAAGCTTATACATTAACATGCATCGACAATGAACCGCAAAACTCGAAGTTGTAAATAATTTGAACTTCATGACAGTATGACATATTAAAATATAGCCTATGTTTTTTTCACTCAGTCTGTATTTTATACCAAGTCTGTAATTTCAGTCTGCAATTTATACCTATTCTGCATTTTGTACTTGGTCTGCAGTCTGCAGATTATACTGACTGTTAGTCAAAGCAAGGAAAGATTAATATCTATATATTTCTCTTTCAACACAGTCTTGAATATTGTGACTAAAAAAATCGAAAACCTTAGTTAAAACTGATTAAAATCCTACTATTTACAAATAAAAATTGAAAATTGGCGTTCTTATTTATAATTTAAACTAAGGTTTTAGATTTTTAGTAACAATATTAAGACTGTGTCTGTGTTGAAGAGAAATATAGACATTGATCTCGTCCAAAAGCACAAATTTATCGTAATCTTTCCTTGCTTCGACTAAAAGAGACTTTGATATATCGAGTCATTGATCAGTATACTATAATATTTATAGTAAATTTATACCGGAAATAGGAAACACAGCAATAGGAAACAATAGGTAATAGGAGATAGCCCGCCAGCGAACACAGCAATACGCCAATAGGAAACACGGTAATAGGTAATAGCCCGCCAGCGAACACAGCAATAGGAAACACGGTAATAGGAAATAGCCCGCGAGCGAACACATCAATAGCAAACACGGCAATCTCGTTCCCCGAGCCTGCGATCCTCTGGAAGGAACGCGAGGCTCTGGGATAATCTGTTGCCGGAAGCCAGGAATCCTGGCTAAGATTGAACTACGCATTCCATTTCAACGGCCAATCAGATTCCTCCCTGAAACAGATTATCCCAGAGCCTCGCGTTCCTTCTCGAGGATCGCAGGCTCGGGGAACGAGATTGCAAACACGGTAATAAGTAATAGGAAACACGGTAATAGGAAATAGCGAAAAAAGTAGCTTTTGCAACCCACTTTTTCAACACGGAAATAGGTAATAGCAATTACACTTCTGGGCTTCCGTAAAAAAAATGGAAACAACCGGTTAAAGCGGTCCCAACGATATATATTTTTTTACAAATGCGGTCATTCGTTTACAAATTACAATCACTGAATAAAAACAGTTAATAAATAAATATAAACTTGCTCTGATATATTAAGCTAATCAGTTCATTCTTTGGCTTTGCACAGTATATTTAATTTAACAATGTTATTAAGTTTTGTTTCACGTCTTTCCCAGAGGTCCGTAGGCTTTAAAGATGATTTCCACTCCGTTCTGCGCATCAGTTCTGTTCATAACAAAGGGGGACCCCCAGATATAAATATTGCCCAAACTTTGCATCTTTCGAACTTTTTTGAATTGAAAGTGAAACGTACAGTTTATATTCATTTACAAGCATAGAGGACCAGAAAAGTGTTAGATATTCAGTTAGTATATCATATTTTACAAATATAGCAGTTCAAAACGTAAACAAAGTTCGCGCAGGTGCACATGCAGGAGTGGACATCATCTTTAAAGTTGGTTGAAATCGGGTGTTGGAATATTGGGTTTAAGGATGGTCACATTATTTTATGAAGGTAATACCTTGGATGCATTTTGAAATGTTCACTGTTGTTTGATAAGTAGACGGATTGTGTGCCTTGACGTGTACTTGTAGCTCCTAAAAATGTTCCGGAGGAAAAATGTCCACATCTCGCTTCGCGAGGTTACAGTATATACTCGAATTTGTTCCAAATGGAAGTGTAACGTAATCATCCAAGCGCCAAGTCCAAGATTCAGGAACATTTCGAAATGTTTGAAGAATTGTTTTTCCTTGACTGCCAAAGTACCCTCACACTGACGATGCATTTCAAAACCAAGACAATATAGTAACACGCTGTACTCACCGAGTCATATTCGTTTCCATCACTAGAATATTGGTATAGCATATTTGTTGGTAATGTGCTGATAATGGTGTGATCTTGAAATGGAAAGTGTTTTTCACAAGAACAAAATTTCCCGCTGGGTGAATTCTTTCCAATTCAACATGGTTGAAAAAAACTATTCTGCAATTTTCTATACCGGTGTCCAATAACTGTTACCTGTAGTCCAATGAAACCACGAGGCATTTTTGTACACAATTTAAAGTTTTAAACTGACAACGTCAAAGGAAACGTCGAATATATTTCAGTTTCATGACATTCTTGCGGATTGTGCTTAAAGGTCTAGTAATATATTCTGAATGTCTTTGATGAAGCGAACAAAAGGTTTGAGATATACGGAGTCGATGCGTTGGTGATAAGGGCGAACTTCATATCATTTTAGTAGCGTAGGTGCTGGTATGTCGTCATTGTTTTATGCGGTTTATGAATCATTCAGGTAACTGTGAAAGTTGACGTCTTCCAACTCGACATTGGCGTTGAAAAGCTATATGCACGTAGATATACGTTCATGGACATGGGAAATTAGTATCAATATATATAGTTATCTATATTCCACTGGAGAAGGCTCTGGAGATCATTCATATATATATATACAGTCCATTTCAATATGTACATTCTAATTGTGTACATTTTTACAACAGGTGTAAAAATATCTATTTAATATATTCTAAGTTTTTCAACTGAATCCAAAACATTATTTGGCTCAGCGTAACCAGTTAAGTATGAAAAATGTTGTTCAAAAAGAACGAAAAAAATATGTATATTTTAAAAAATATTTTAAAAATAATATTAAAACACTATCGTTACTAATATAGAGTTGTGCAAACTCCCGTTATTTTAGCTCCGGCTCCGGCAGTCAAAACTCCGGCTCCTGCAAGGAAATTTCATATTTAAAAGTGGAAGCAGGCGAAAGTATTTCAGTGTAATTTCAGAATTTATTTTATTCCTTTTTGAGCTTTCTCTTTCACTTATCACATATACGTGATTCGGTGCTTGTTTAAACAATGTTTTGCAGAACGTAAAACCGCATGTTGGCATGGCAGCGTAGTATTTTCGCCCAAAATACATCGGGGTCAGCAGATTTACAAAAATCAAAAGCGATAGCAATGCGCTTGAAGAATTTCATAACCACGAATCGGATCGGAGCAAGTGATTAAACTTTATAGTAACTTAGTTCAAATCATTCAACTTAATTTTCTATTTCCAAAAGTTCATAGAAATATGAAATAATGTTTCATAATTTTCTCTGCCAGAGTTTTCCAACAACGGCAAAATATGCCGGAGCTCCGGCTCCGGCGCACAGCTCTATACTAGTAATCTTTGGGTCAAAATTAATATCTTAGATTTTTCAATGCTTACTAATAATAGACTGTATAAAAAATGGAACACAGCTATTGCATTGTTTTTGAGACACTCAGTGCACGCCGATGAGTGGAGGGCTTTCGCCTTCCGATCAAGGGCCTTCACTAGAAAGATCTAAGTTCTGTTTGCATTTCAGGTAGTTGCAATACCTTTCTCAATCCACAGCATTCACGTTTTCACTCAACATGTCAAAGTAGACAAACTCCAGAAAATGACAAGCGCATTCACCTTCAATTAGCCTTTCACACCGCCAATTTTACAGCCATTTTGGGGGTACTACCTCTCCCACGTTTGAGAGTCTCCGCACCACGAAATACAACTTTTTAGTATTGTAGTTGTTTGTATAATGGTAAATTTAAAAATAAGTCGCTTTTCACGTTGTTTGAATTGTCAAGAATCTTTCACGAGGGCAGACAATATCCCCAAAATGGCGGATTTTGGCCTTCGTGAGAAAGGCTATAGAGTTGTTTTTCAACAGGATAATAATATTCAAAAGGACAATAATGTTGAATTACGCTCACATACATGCACCCACGTGCCTTTTATAGAAAGGGTGTGTATGTTGATCACGAATGAATGATTGAAATTTAGAGATGTGCATCGGATCGGATTGGACGTTTATAATCCGACAATTGCCTAATGTTTAAAATCCGATCCGAAATTGTCTAATCCGAATCCGATCCGAATTTTGATAAAGAATTCCAATCCGATCCGATCGATTTAATAAAATAAATTTCTCATTCCAGTTGAAATATTTAACCAAATAAATATAAAAGCAAGAAATACATGTCAAGAAGCTGACAAAGTGACGTCCAATTGAAGTATCAAACGAATAATGCAGCGACAACCGCGATAATGCTTTGATAAATGCATGGATAATTAATTCTTGCGATAATGTGTGGATAATTAATTCATTTTATTTCGGATATCGAAGTCCGATCCGACTACCACGCAACTTTATCAATCCGATCCGATATGAATATTTTGGTTCCGAAATCCGAACGAATCGGATTCGGATGGATTTGCACACCTCTAGATGGAATAGACTAATTCGACACAAATTATTTGATCATTCCAATCATAGAGTTTTAAAGTTTAGAAACAGTCCTTTTCCCTTTTAGAAAATTGCATAATTTTGTCAGAAGTAGAGAATACGATGCTGTTTTAATACAGATCTATTTTAGTTAAAACTGTTAAGTTGAGTAGCAGTGTAGATATACGAAATCTCAGGATGTCGCTACTCGTCAGAATGAGAATCCTTAATAATACTTCTGCGTTTCGAGCAAAGGTCGTTCGTTAAGAGAGCAGGTTTTAGATGTATCACTTATTATTTTAAAGAACATGGAAAAGTGCAACTGCGGAAGTAGCCAAGCATGGGAGCATAGTTAACATTTTCAAAACTTTCGGTGGTTCTCAGGTTCTGTAGTTTAGAATGGGCCAGAGTTACAATAGCACACAAAAATGGTACATGTATTATGATAAATCGTGAAGTTTAGCAATTTTTGCATGATCGCCGACAAAAATATCTAATCACCGAAGTAAAAACCCATGCACAACACATCACTGCTGATGATACTCCTTTGTATGCCATACCTCAAAACAATTCTTGTCAGATCGAATGTGCAGAAAATTCTGACATTGTGGAGCTGAGCAATAAGTTGAAACAGTTAACTGTCCCCGCCCTGCCTTGTAACATACTTTACAAACCCTTCTCACATTTGCTAACTTCGGAATATGGAGTGTTTCATACTCGTGAACAGGTTTTTCTTTTCCACTCACATAGGATGGAGGCACATCATAATCTGCTAAACCACAAATTTGCCTCACTAGGGCCTCTCTAAACTCAACTATGCCATAATACTTCTCCCCACGTTCCGGGGAATTATTATCAGGATTATTTCTTCGCTGTTCCTGGAAAAGAATAAAACTGTTAATAACTGACATATCAATTAAATGGAACAACAAAGTTTTCCACCACTTATAACACTTCTGTAACACGTTATTAGACATAACAGTATGATCATATCTATGAACTTTATTAATACACTGATTATATTTTTGAATAACTTTGGGCACATTCACATCAATTTTTTCTAACTTGTTATCTCTCTTAACTTTCCTGTGTAGAAGTGCCACCTCATTTGCACTATCAATAGTACTGAGTATTGAGATAGGTTGATGGTCCAGCCACTGCAATGTCAAAATATTTGATAGACGCTCCCATCTCATGTCACCAAATTCCACAGTCCTCGCCCACTCTTTCACATCGCTCAAAGAGGTAGGGAATCCAACCTTGCCAACACTTACCACACCTGTTGATGGTGTACCATTTGAGAATAGATCACTTACCAATTTAAAGGAAGTAAAACATTTTTGAAGATATAAATGATATCCGCCACCTTTATGATAAGTTTCAGCTTCTTCACTGGGACCAACAGTTATGTCTTCACTGTAAGGCGAGTCCAAATTTCTGGATAAAAAATATTAAATATATCGTATTCTATTATTAAATAACAGGGTTATTTATTTTTTATTTATTTATTTAAAAATACGTCCTATTTACATAATTAAGATGAATGAATGATAATAATATTTATTCAGGAAACCAACATCACAAGAAGTGTTTTTCAGATGGTTCCTGCAAAACATTAAAATACAAAGTATAGAAAATATATATACAGGGTGTCCCAAAAAAATGCCCCCTTTCATATTTTGTGGTACTACATCGTTACCTGTAATCGAATATTCAAATTTTTTCATTTTTTTTTATCAATGAACATATTACGTTAATCGTTGCATTTTTTCGCACCAAAATATTTAACCGTTCGCCTTCTAGAGTTACTTAAGGTGGCGACACCAATATTGCCACTTGTCCAAATTGAGGATATTAGGTTTTTAAAAACATATTACGGAACGTCATAAAATATTTTAATGGTAAATGGCTACATATCTTTTCTAAAACTGGTAATTAGTTGTAGCCAAAATCGCAAATTAATTTTCTGTAAAAATAATGAAGCAATCCCCAGAAAAGGGGAAAGACTAGTGACGAAATCCCAACATTTGCTCTTTCATGGAACAAATTGAACGGAAAACAGCAAATTTAAGGCATTTTCCCAACCTTAGCTTTGCCTTTGTCAATTTGCCAGGGATTTTCATCTTTTTTTTATTAATTTCTACAAGAAACAAAAGTTTAATAATAGAGATAAAAAAAATTTTGTTTTTGAGCAAAAGGTGGGTAGAAACTTTAGAAATCGTTCTGCAAAGTTTGCATTATTTTTAACCTAATTTCTGTAATTTGGACGGGTTGCAAAATTGGTGTCGCCACCTTAAGTATCTCTAGAAGCCGAACGGTTAAGTATTTTGGTGAGATAAATACTACGATTAATATAATATGATTGTTTTACAACCCACTGCAAAAAATTTGAACCTTTGATTAAATATAGCGAAGTAATACCACCAAATATGACAGGGGCATTTTTTGGGGACACCCTGTAGTGTGCGTGCAGTATTTACATATTGGTATATGGATATATATGATAGCGCCTATACCAGAAAAATTATGAGACTATAGTATACATGATTGCTAGTTACAAGGATACAAAGAGTTAGTAACATAGATATCTTATATACACTAGATAGCGAATCTCTTTTAGTAAAATTGAAGCCAAGAATATTCTAGCGGTTATCCCCATTTGAATAGATGGCGGCCATGTTGGTCGTTCCCACTTGCTAATAAACTCTTAAAAACAACAATAACTTTCATCATTTGAATAGTCTAAAAATGTATTTGGAATAGGGTTAACTTAATGTTTAAGTTCCCTGTTTAAGAAATAGAAAACATAAGAATCTTCTCATTTCATGGGAACGACATGAGACTGCAATCACGGCTTCAATTTTGAATTGCAGAATAATCAGATGCACAATCTAGTGTATATAAGCTATCTATGGTTAGTAAGTTATATTTTAAATATACTGTATGAGTATTATAAAGATAGAGATTTGAGAAGTTCATTTTAGGAAGGTTCCTAATTGTTCAATGGATCTAGTATTATAGATTTATAGTTCAAATCGTTGTACTCTTTACAAGCCTCGTAAAGCAATTTTTGCTTTCCCCAGTTTGTCATCGGCTTACAGAGGTATATATATATAATCTCCGCGTCTTGTGTTATATAAACGATTAGTTTTAGGCAGTTCGAGATTAAACTCTGTTAAATTATTTTAAAATTTATATATGGTTAGCATTCGGTGTAGTTTGCGTCGGTGGGCAAGTGGATGCCAGTGTAATATGTTGAGGGCTTCAGTGGATGAGGGTAGGTAGGGAGCGTCAAGTATGGTCTTTGCAGCCTTATTCTGGAGAACTTGTAGTTGATCCATTAAGGAGGAGTTATTCTTGTGACCCCATATAATATCTCCGTAGTCAACTAGTGGAAGAATAAGAGCGTTGTAGATGATAAGTCTAGTTTTGAGTGGAATGAAGGTTTCAATTCTTCTTAGCAGTCCGATGCGTTGGTCAATTTTTGTTGAAATATTATTTAAATGGTCAGACCAAGTGAGATTTTCCTGAGAAAGTTATACCTAGATATTTAAAGGTACGTTCACGGGCAAGTTGATGTTCGTTGACATGTATGGATATATTAGTGAACGACTTCAGACGGCTGATATACCAAACAGGACGAACTTTAATAGATTTTTTGCAGTTCAATGTAAGTACGTTTTGATCAAGCCACTGAGAGATCAAGTTAAGGTCCTCGTTTACGTATTTCTTAATGTCACTAGCTGACTTGGATGAGTAGTATAGAAGAGTGTCCAAATAAAGAAGATAGAATATACAGTATAACATCAGTTGAATACTAGAGCTAGGAGCCTTTAAGAAACTTAAAGAAGCTTTTAGTACAAGGCCCCTATTAATTACAGCAAATAATTCAAACGTACAATTTTAATGAAAGTTGTGATATAATTTTACAATATAGTATATACAACAATACGAAGTTAGGAGTGCATGATGATGGAAGCATTGTTTTAGAAGTCCATGAAGAATATAATGCTGTATTAAAATTCTTGTATTTGATAATAAAGTTTAGCTTGTTTTTTGAACGATTGGTAAAATTTAATGGATTTTAAATCTTCGTTCAAATTATTTCAAATTTCTACTCCTTTATTGGAGAGAGTATGTCTTATGTAATTAGTTCGGGTGTACGTTTTATGTAGTTTTTTGGAACTTCTAGTATTGTGAATTGTGATGATGAATTTCATTATTAGTTTTGAAAAAATTGTTGAAAATTTAGGGCATATTGTTCATGTTGTAAAATTGAAACATAAATAAACTGGTCAAATAATAATTTATTTTGTAAATATTTAATAAATTTCACTAGTAAATGATGTTTTTGAATAATGGTTCCGTGTGCTTAGAATACGATTTGAAAGTGATTAGACACACAATTTTCTTTTGTACACTCGACAATTTTTGCAATATTGAAGGGTACATGTTACCCCGAGCTAAATTAGCGTAAGTAAGATAAGGATAGACAAGGGCATAGTAAAGCAATTTTAATTTATTTTGATTCGTATAATGCCGAATTTTAGAAATAATTCCGGTTGATTTAAATATTTTTTTAAAGACTGAACCAATGTGATTATTCATGGTTATAAAGAAAGCTTACCAAATTTAATATCAGTTGTTTAATGTGTTGCCAAATTTTATGAAAACCCCGAATGCAGGGCCGTAACTAGACGCGATAATTGACGGGTGGGGTGCGTATCGTAGATAGTGGGTATTCATATATTCGTGTTCTGCCCTACTAATTTCTTTTGAAAGTGATTGCTTTTACGGTTTGTGAACATGAATATGAATATGCCCCCTCCCCAATTATCGCGTCTAGTTGCGGCCCTGACAGAATAAATGCATGATCACAGACTCACCGAGTTTAAGGCTTTAGAATTACTTTATTATTTTAAGTTTTTTTTTCTCAGTCGCCACAAGGACTACAGTACCTTTGGGAAAGATCTGGTCGCCAGATGAACAATTTGGTCGCAACTGGCAACCTGAAGCCCGCTCATTTCAACCCCATTTCCCTGTGATCATATATTTATACCCTGGATCAGAAGGTTTCCTGTTTCGCTGAAGCTGTAGCCTGCACTCAGGTGGTGCTCGCGTTCAGCCGTCATGAGTTAAACCTCTGAACCCAGGTGAGATATTAATGGCTAATTATCACTACATGCAGATTGATAGTGTAAAATATAATACGGCAGACACCTTGCAGATTATTAGGGTGGCTAATATATTGTCACACTTTTGTTTCAGCAGATCTTTCTGCTTTTCATGGTCTTAAAATCAATGCTTCCACATTAAAGCTAGAAATACAGTTATCCTCGTTCAAACGAGGAAGGCAGTTGGCAGCCAAGCATTGTTATTGTGTATATTTTAAACTCTAGGTTAACAAAATAAAGGTTTGACGATGTACAGTACACCAATAGGGGCATAGTCCCAAGTGAATGGGGGCTGAGGGCTGTAACCGTCTAGCCAGCCAGTGGCATTTTTTTCTAGTATTTCATGCATTTTAGACACATTTTAAGGAAATCTGCAAGCCATAGATTTGGTATATTTTATGTCACAGCTGACAACAGGTTACACCTCCCAGTTTCTGCTCAGTTTTGAAAGAGAGGCATCTTTGTTCTTTTCCTTTTTAAATATTTTAGCATCATATGCTAAAATATATGAAAAGTTTCAAGTCATTAAGGTGAAACGCAAATTGCACGGAAATCTTCTCAGAGCACGGAAATCTTCGCACAAAAGTGAGAAAAACGAAACAATTAGAGCTAACCAGAGCTAAAATGTCAATTTCATGCTCTACATATAGCATTCAATAGATACAAACATTAAACATAGTACTCAATTTTGTAACACCACCCTTACGAAAAATTCCTATAGGAATTCCAACAGGAAATCCTATGGGAATTTTGGACTACTGTATTCCTATAGGAATTCCTATAACATGATGCCAGAGATCTCCAGCTTCAAGTATACATTAATGGTTCCAACTATACCCACCAAAAATCTCAATTTGATTTTAGGTAGCAACTTCAATCATACAAAGTTCCCAGTGGACAAAACAACGTTAATTCAACGTTGCATCAACATTGGATGTACATTACAAATTGGATAAATACAAATGCAAATTGGATGGACACGTTGAAACGACATTGCATGAGATTACGTTGTCGGCGTCAAAACCCTTTTTCTACCAAATTTCAATGTTGAAACAACGTCACATGCCCAGTGGGTTATTAGAATTAGGCTAAATTATCTGAGGGATGTTGCAAATAAGTGGTGTAAACCTATATTAATTCCATGGGATTTGAAGGATAAGGAGATCTTTGCATGTTGGATGAAAATTGCAAACAACCAAAATTTTGTTTAAAATTTATCCAGCAAGTACCTCATGTGAACAATTCCCCTTCTCCAATTCCTTGCAATCACAGGAATTAAATTTACACTTTACTGTACCCAAGTAATCACTGAATATACTCCAGCAAAACATGTCATTAAAGAATGGGAAAACTCTCCATAGAATTAAAATACATGGTCATCATATATTTGTGTTATATGGGTATGGTAATTAAACTGTAAAGTACCCTAATCACATACACCTCCACCCTCAAGCAGATTACATAGCACCAGTGATGTTTTGCTAATTTTAGAAGTGGGGGGACGGTCTTGAAAATCAAGTGGGCGTGGTCACTCGATTGGGCGTGGCCTATTCATAGTCATAGTGAACAATTTAGTAAAACATGTACCTAAAAAACACCTAGCTTGCGCGTGGTAGATGTCTAAAAGCAAATAAAACCACGTTGACTTTCGAATTTCGATGATGCAATTAGCGCTATGTGAGTAACTCAGCAAACAGGCAACTTTGCAAGTTGAATATGACGTTTTCGCGAGTAACTAAATAGGCTTAGGACTGGTAAGTACTTATCTACTTAAGCGGACGTCAATTATCAGACTCTCGTATTTTTGTGCTAGTCTGCTAGAATTTTATGCAAGTATATCAAGTTTCAGGAAGATTAAAATAGTGACACAATTACGTTCTGAAGTATGTCTACGTAGGACGCTGAGCAATTATTGCCAAAAATAACACGTATGTAGAACAAGTGATGCCAAAATTATTCGGATGGTGTCAAACGGTGTTCACTGATTTAAGGTGGCTCCCTAGGGTTTTTTAATTTACTACACTATAGTATTCAGGAGACTCCTGTTTCTTCACTTTACATGATATGAAAACGAAATTTATTGGACACATTGACAATGTTCTCCTGAACATTAAAAATTGCAACTTTTGTGTTAAAAATCTGTTGTCATGGCAACAACATGCTTAGAATAAAGCCCAAAATTTGTCTTTTTCAGGTCATTTTAAAAATTCCCTTCGGTGAAATTTTTTAAAACTTTGCATAAAAGGTCATACTTGTATAATAATTTTTTTCCCTCAATTTAAAAAAATTAAATCGATACGTTTCTTAGAAAATTGAAAAAACGTCAAAAATCAATATTAAAAATTTTCCCTTCGATTTAATTTTTTTAAAAAAGGATATTGCACTTGCTGTGCCGGTACTAAAAAATGTGCAAAGTTTTAAAAAATTTTACCGAAGGAAAACGGAGAAATTTGGGATTAATTTTCGCAATTTTACTAGATTTTTACGCGAACAATTTAATACCCCAACTGACGTGTACAGGCATTCTGCAGAACAAGGCAAGACTTTTTTGAAATCACAAAATATGAATTATTTATTTTTTTTTTTTTTTTATTTACGCCCGTAAAAAATATCAAGTTATTTACATTTATTTTTCTATTGTTTTGGATAGGCTAGGAGCCTTCTAGAAACCAACTAGGCTTTTTAATTAAGACCCATATAGACTATACTTGCATTGTTTCATTCTATTTAGTCAGTTCGAATAATATATTAGATTGAACAAAGATAAAAGCGTATATAACAAGTATAAAATAAAACATTAACATGCATATAAACTTAATTATATATATTCGAAGTGGAGGATACTATATATATGTATATTTATACAGTAAAGAAAGTGATAATATATTTTAAACCATTATACATCCATTGTTGAATATATAATAATTTTTTATTTTAATTTTAAAAGTACTATATGAGAAAATAGATTTGTATTTAGATGCTATGCTATTCCAAACATCAACTCCTTTGTTAGAAAGAGTATGGATTACATAATTCGTTCTTTTATAAGTCTTGTGAAGCTTAGTTGCATTCCTTGTGCCATGGTCATGTATTTTATTATTGGGTATGAAATAATTTACGAATGTTTCTGGTAAATTCTTCAAATTATGATATCAAAACATAAATAAACTTGTTAGGTATTGATTCAATTTATAAGTGCTTAGTATTTTTAACTCCTTAAATATTGGTTCGGTATGTTCAAAGTAAGAATTAAACGTCATTAGACGAATAATCTTTTTCTGAATATTTACTAATTTTTGTGTTCTCTTTTTGTATGTGTTACCCCATATTAGATGTTTGATATACTGTTTATAACTGTGTCGGTTATTGGTCAACTAAGCGTGGATTATACATGTAAAATTGACAAAGATATTTAGGTAATTATTAATTATGATTTCTTGATATTAATTTGAAAAATGTTTGTCAAAATTCGTCCCGTGCGAGTTAGTACATACGTCGGATGTTTTCGCAAAATGCCCGTTCAAATTTCAGTTTTTATGGTGGTATGTTTGGAGTTTCGGCCCTGCTCATTTCACCAGTAGAGGGCTCATTATTTAAGTCATCTTTATTGTCATAAGTGCTGCTAGATTGTGGAGAAAACACTGCAAATTCTTGAGAAAACTTTATATCATATCCCAATGTTCGCGATCGAACCTGGCGTACGGCGGTTCAAAAAACTTCCAGAATACCGCTTGAAAAAAAACAAGTTTACATTATCTTCTTTTGAAACATCACATCCAAGTATCGTTTTGTCTTTTAGAACTATTTTTATGCTTTCAACTAAAGTTCACACTTTTGTTTCAAAAGAGTTCCATATAAAAACACAACGTCCGTTCGAAGTCACACAAGTTTTAGTTTACATATATACGAAGAGTAACCCCCGGAAATAAAACCCTAGGGAGCCACCTTAACACCTTTTCCACCATTTAACACCTTTTCCATCTGCCGAAAATGACGTCACATCAATTTGATAATGCACCAACTGATGTCTTCCCCCAATGGGGGAGTGCGGGCATACACAGGCAATTGACAACAAATTAATGCCTATGAGGTGGAGCATTAAATTCTTTTAACATGCAGCAACCCCCCAGAGGATGGGGATTTTTAACATTTTTTCAATTTTAAAACCTTGTGTAAAAATACAAAATGGCTGAACCTGTAGATGCAGTTGAAAGGCTCAGGGTATTACAAATCCCCTCTTATTTCATGTTCAAACAAACCATCCACTTCTGTAAATTGATTTGTAATGCCAAAATTACAATAAGGAAAGACTATTTTATTTGTCGCATTTTTTTTCTTTATATTTCACACTTTTAATAGTGTCCAGGTTCTACTTCAATATCAAGATAGATAAAGCTGGTGGTCAATTACCCTCGTGGAGTTGCAGTTTCTGGTTGAACTTAAAACTGTTTTATACAACTGTAGACCATTCTGATATCAAGTGTATTTATACATTTGATCTATTTGCTCCGATTCCTTACAGAGCCATGGTTTTATTTTCCACAAATATCAACTGTTGTCGATAAATTTGTGTCAATTAGTTTATAATTATATTATATATTAAAGTGTTGGTCATTCAAGGGGCAGACCATTAGAAATCCCGGGAGGGGGGGTATAAAATTTTTGCGGCACGAATTTTTTTTTTCAGTCTCGTGTCTCTGCAGGAATTTTTTTTAATGCATTTAACCTCTGCACGAATTTTTTTTCAAGACTATTTGTACTTCGCTGTTTGCTTGCACAAATTTTTTTTCTCTGACGTAATGGCTGCACGAATTTTTTTTCCAGGCATTTTCCTTTCCACAAATTTTTTTTTTTGAATTTTCACCCCCAATCCCGGGATTTCTAATGGTCCGCCCCCAATCTCTTCGGCATTCAACATTAATTGACAGTTCTATGCTGCCCTTGAGAGAGGAATATTGACAAACAAATTCTCGAAAATGTCAATTGCCCCTGGGTATGCCCGTAATCCCCCCCCCCCCCTCCGGCCCGTGGAAGACAAGTGCTGACCCCCAGGCATCAGATTTTGGTGAGAAATCACCAATTGATTTCCTAATTTTTTTTAAAAACATTGTACATGGAAATTGTTGTTTACCAAGTTCCTTCGTTACAGTTTTCAACTTTATACATGACGTTTTATAATACTGCATTGAGTGCTATGTCTTTATATCGATTATATAGCTAGGTACTTTATACACATTTACATTTATTATCAAAATAGGATATAAAGTTATATATAGAACGCCTTCAAAACTTGCCTTGAATTATCGTCAAACAATCCTAATTCCAAATCAAGTTCTTCTGCTGATGACATTCCTTCACAATCACTATCAAACATACCATTGTATAAATCGTCTTCGCTGTCACTATACTCCACTATAAAGCTCGTTTCATGCGCCATGTTGCTTTCGAATCGTTGACAGAAGATTGCTTTTCCCGCGGGCGGGAAAATTAGGGAGCCTGTTTCGCGAAGTTCAAGTTCGATCATGCCCAATTTCGTTCTTTCGAGCGGGAGTTAGCGGGAGTTAGCGGGACTGCGGGAGTGGCTTGAGCGGGGTACATTCGGTGATTCGAGGCCGAGGAGCTGGTCTTCTCTTTTTAACCGTAGCGTTTTTGAAATAGATAGATAGATAGATCAACTTTATTTAAACACATTGGCCTTTTCAGCAAAAGCTGATTTCCAAAAGGGATGTGTACTTACAAATTATTATTTATATACTAGCTCTAATATTACATACATAACAAATACAATTATATACCTATTTAGACAAAAAATTAACTACTACTTTAAGTCGAGATTAAGGTCGAGGAAGATAGCTTTTTACAGAACGAATTATACGATACCGAATTGCGTAACTCTTCAGGTATCTGATTCCATAGTTTAGCCCCACTATATTGGAAGCTTTTTTTTAAGGATTCCGTTTTTGGTCTTGGAATATAAAACCTTGTTGAAGAACCTCTCAAATTATGGTCATGAATGGTATTCAGATTTTGGAAAGCTTCGCATAGTCGTTGGGGGCTAAACCATTAACTGTCTTGTACATGAGCCTGGCTTTCATTTGTGCCCTACGCTCTTCAAGTGTTACCCAGCCTAGAGATTTTCGTGCCAAAATAGACTGACCATGTTCATTTTTTAAGTTCATGATCAACCTAGCCGCTCTGTTTTGGCATTTCTGTAGACGTTCGCTTAGGCCTTTATTAAGTGTATCCCATACTTCACAGCAAGAATCAAAATAAGGTTGGATTAAGGCATTATAAACTTTATCAAAATGTCTTGTTCGACATACTCCCTCATTTTTCTAATAGCCCCAATACCTGATGATATTTTACTGCTAATATGGTTAATGTGTTTTTCCCAACTCAAGTTTTCGTCTAATTCAACTCCAAGAGCTTTGGTATTTTTAACTTTTTTAATCAATTGATTTATTTTAACTCCTTGATGGGTATCAATATTACTTATTTTATGTCGTGTTCCAATTAAAACATACTCGGTTTTCACTATATTTAGACTTAGTTTATTTGCACAAAGCCATTTCTGAACATTCCTCATGTCTACGCTCGCCCTCTCTTCCGCCTCACTAATTGTTCTGCCTACTGCCGTTAAGTTAGTATCATCAGCAAACATTCTTGGAGTTGTGCGTTCTAGGCAGCTTGGCAAATCATTTATATACATAATAAATAAGAGAGGGCCGAGTATACTTCCCTGAGGAATGCCACAAATGATTTATTTCTCCACCGAGAGTATACTGGCCAATTGACAACTTTGAGTTCGGTGCGTCAAATAGCAACGTAAAAGATTTAATGCTTTCCTTTGGAAACCATACATTTCAAACTTACTTAACAGTATTTCGTGGTCGACTGTATCGAATGCTTTTTTTAGGTAAAAAAAAAACAACTAAGTTATACAGCCCACGGTCCATGTTGGTATACCATTCGTTCGTACAATCCAATAATGTAGTAGTTGTGGAATGATAAGGTCTGAAACCAAATTGGTGTTTTGAGAAAAGATTATTCTGGTTAAGATACTCATACATTTGATCATACATAATTCTTTCCATAAGTTTACTTACTACAGGAAGGATTGATATCGGTCTAATATATTCTTCTTTCTTTGGCGGTGAACGGCGGTCGCCTTCAGTGGTAGTACTGACCGATTCAGCGCTTATTTGTCTTGCTAGTTTTACTAAAATTTTTTTAGTTTTCAATGTTCCATTGGGGCGTCAGAATATTAAATATACCCGAATACATTTAAAGAGGCGGTAGGGGTCATCTCCATAGTCGTTTGCGTGCGGATGCACACTCCTCGTTTTGGACAAATTCATTGCACGATCCCCAGTGGGTGAGAATTTGTATCTTTCAAACATAAACTATGTCTATGGTTAGGTAGGCTCGATCCAGCCGGTGGGTCTCTCTCCCACCGGCTGGATCGAGCCTAATGGTTAGGGCGAGGGGCAACCTCGTTCCCAGGGTCTCTCCGTCTGTCATCTGGGAGAGACCCTGGCTGCGGCTGGTCACGTGCCTCCCAGATTCTGGGAGGTAAATTTAATTGTAACTGTGAGAGGGGTGGGAAAGGAGCGTGTTTGTAGCGTTTTAAAATTGCAACTGTGGGTGATGAAATGTACTGTAAATTTGCAACAAGAAATCGTAAAGAGAACTCTTAAATTAATATTTATATCGTGACGTTCTACTCTATAATCTGGTGTCGAGTTACAATTCAAGCAAGTTGGATCAGATTTCATTTAATATAGACTTGCCAAAGAAATCACGCTTGCGGCGGCTTGCCGCTTGTGCAGCGTGGCAATATTAAACCTACAGGAAAATATATATCTCCAGACCGAACAGTGTGGTTGTTATTTATTTAGTATTAAAGTCTATCCTGATACTCGGACCAAAAGAATTTATTTATTGATGAGATGTGGAATTGCAACGAAATAGCGAGATGTTTTGATTTCCGAAATATCAAATATCGCCAACTGTATCCAGATTGTTGATCTATATAAAGACCTTATCAAAAAAAACTTAAAGCCCTTTGCATTGCTGAATCCAACGATCATGGACGTGGTATATGTCAAAGTAGCTATGTCTGTTGAAAATCTACGGTATTAAAATTAAAATCATACACCAAAGATAAGTCAAACGACAAATTATATGTCACTATATATTATACATGTCTTCCAAATATGAGCACTGTTTAGTAGTGTTCACCACCTTTATAAATTTTGTAAACAGCTTTCGTTAATTTGACATGAATAAGCTTTTATTTTTTGCTTATATGCATTCTTAATAATACAAGTGAGATTTAAATTTTTGCTTTGTGAAATAGAATACCGTTGTTTTTTAATGGACAGCTTGCATCGTCTATATCATATCCAGGATTGCTTGTGTGCAAACGCATTATTCACTATATGGCACTATCAAATAAATATATTAAAAGTAGCAAATGATTAGTGAATTAGAGATAAACAGGTCATTCACAATAAAAACTTTAAAAATGTTAGTAGAAGTAGAAAACTCGAAAATTTATGTC